GGCCCCTCCACAGATCCAAGGAAATGTTTGATTTGCCAATAATGTGAAGTGGCTCCCTTCATGATATTGGCAAATTGAAAGAGTAGGATTCACTTTTGTTCATTTCCCGCAATCACATGCACTGGAAATGGACCAAAATGGAGTGATCATACCAGCACCAAAAATGTAGAAGCCTCTGGTAGAGGCAAGAAAAATGCAGGTAGCACCAATCTCTGGGAACGGGCTGGTTCATTTCAGCAAGTACAGTGGTGCCTTGCTTGACGATTACCCTGCTCCACGACAAATCCGCTTAAGAATTAGGATTTTGCGATCACTTTTGCGATCGCAAAACGATGTTTAGATAGGAAAAAACTGCTTTACAATGATCGGTTCCCTGTTTCGGGAACTGATTTTTCGCTTTACGACGATCAAAATAGCTGATCATTGGGCTTTCAAAATGGCTCCCCGCTGTGTTTCCTCGCTTTACAGGCACGGGAAAATGGCCGCCCTATGGAGGATCTTCGCTGGACGATGAGGTATTTAACACATTAGAACGCATTAACCGGTTTTTAATGCATTCTAATGGGCTTTTTATTTTCGCTTGATGACAATTACGTTCTACAGTGATTTTGCTGGAACGGATTATCGTCGTGAAGCGAGGCACCACTGTATATAATGACAACTGGGATTGACAGTAGAAGATAACAATTCAGCCACAGATGCAGGCATTTAAAAAAGCACAAATAAACCTCTCCCTTCAACAGTACTAGGGTTAGTGGCTCTGGACCCCCTTGTAGTTCAAAATTCATGTATAATTCTTATGCCCCCAAAACATAACTACAAAACATAAACAATTGATAAACACACATGCAGACCTCCCCCAAATTACATCAGCCTCCTGGCATGCCCCAGCATCCTACCTAGCCACCATGTAGAGAGCCACCATGCCAGGAGAGGGGGCTACACAGGCCACCAGCATTGTACTGGGGGTGTCACACTGTCAATAGCAGGGGCCTTCGTAAGTCCAAGGGCCACTTTTCTCAAGCCACTTCCTGGAAACAAATAGTGCACAATATTGATTGAAGATAGATTGATTGATTGATTGGTTGGAATATTTATTTATTGAAAAAATATCTGTATAACCAAAACTGTGCTGCTCAGCCCTGTGCAATTTAAGGCAGAATTGTAATATAATTAAATTCTAAGCAGATATGTATGTCAGCTGATGAGTGATTTACTTTTTCTTCATCAGTTTTATGTTTTACTCCTTTAATTATTGTTCTTTGTTATGTGCTTTGTTAGCCACTGAGGGAATATGTGTTGATGGGTGTGACCGCCTCCTCATACGTCACAGAGGGGGCGCCACTTCACACTTTCTTTCTCTTAACACGCTGCCACCAACCACACACATATATCTGACTCCTCAGACAAAGGTATGGATTTTAAAAATAAAAATTATTGTTTATTGGTACAACTTAATGTATAGTAAATCAATATATGAACTGAATAAGTCAATCATTAAAATAAAGAATCCCTTCAGTCACTCTATCACTCAGACCTTATCTAACACAGTACTTCATAACATACATGCCCTAACTCCAACTCTATCTCTATCTTCTCATCCTAGCTCCTCTCTCACACATCATTCACTCCCCCCTTATAGACATAGCTCCACCTCCTGGAGTCCCACCTCCTGCCCTGCTATAGGCCGATGAGCCCCAGCATAACATTGATAGGCAGGTGACATCATCGCAGCCGTCACAATGGGCAGTCACAAAAATTCAATGTAGAATTGTGCAGTTAGTCCCATGTATTTCAGTAAGATTACTGTGAAGAAATAAATTGGTCAGATGCAAGGTTTCCATATTGGTGCCAGTGAATTGCGTACAACAGCCAAATTTTTTTCCAGATTTTTATGTTGGTACAACAATTAGCATAAATCTTGTTCACAAATAGTTGCACGTTAAGAAGTTAGCATAGGTGTTTGCTGTTTTATGCCACATTACACAACTCAGTGCTCAACAACAAATGCCTACAGTAATTTTTCAACTTGTGGCAATGTCAGGGATGGGCTGGTTCACTTCAGCAAGTGTCTCAATAGCTGAATTCCTGTTTGTTTTTTAGACTATAGTGTCATCGAAGCTAGCAACATGAATTTGACCCAACTCCGGGAGGCAGTGGAAGACATGAGGGCCTGGCATGCTCTGATCCATGGGGTCATGAAGAGTCGACCATGACTAAACGATTAAACAACAACAACAGCAATACTTAATTCTGGAAGCAACCATTGCCTGGATAATGGGGACCATGTGTCTGCTTGCTCCAGAGAGTGTTGCAGAAACAATGCTAATATGCGCATGTGTGTATTGCATTAAGTGTCAGCCTGAGCACAGCCTGTCACACCTGACTCTGTGGCCAGGGTGCTTGACTGCTGTCGAGCCACCACCTCCTCTTTGGACCCTTGCCCGGCCTGGCTAATCAAAGCAGCCAGGCCGATAACAACAGAATGGGCCACTGCTATAATAAATGGGTTTCCCTCTGCCCTCAAGGAGACACTCATTAGGCCCATAAGAAAGAAACCTAGTTTGGCGGCGGACAAAATTGGTAATTATAGGCCCGTCACCAACGTTTCTTTCATGAGCAAAGTGGTTGAGAGGGTGGTGGCTGACCAGCTTCAAGCACATCTGGATGAAACGGACCCCTTGGACCCATTTCAGTCAGGCTTCAGGCCGTGCCACAGTACGGAGACGGCATTGGTCACCCTGTACGATGACCTGTTGAGGGAGGCCGACAGGGGTAAAATATCTTTGTTGGTCCTCCTCGACATCTCGGCGGCCTTCGATACTGTCGACCACGGTATCCTCCTGGGGAGGCTATCCTAGTTGGGTATCGGTGGCTTGGCCTTGGCCTGGTTCCGTTCCTTGGAGGACTGCCCTCAGAGAGTTCAGCTTGGGGAGAGTGTATCGGCCCTGTGGAGCCTCAAATGTGGGGTTCCACAGGGGTCGATTATCTCCCCAATGCTGTTTAA